GCTCCAAATAAGCGGTGGGTACTACGAGAACGTTCGAGCAGTGATCACTGCGATAAATGCACTTACTGCACCAGCGGCGGTAATAGGTTACGATCGATTAAAAAACAAAGCCCAACTGGTCGCCAAGCCCAACATTTCGGTAAGCTTCTACGGGAAACTCGCCGCTATTTTAGGAATGAAACCTGACGTGGCTTTAGGACGTGACGCCTACCATGAAAAAGCCAATTTTACAATGAGCGTTATCACGGACGCTCCTCATCAAGCAGATATCAACGCGGGTTTCTATACGATGTATGTTTATACCGACATCATTGAATACCAATCAGTGGGTGATTCGTACGTCCCCCTTTTAAGATGCATACATATAACGAGAGGAGACAATGATACCGTCAGTGTTAGATATGACAAACCCCATTACGCATCGGTCAACAAGTCGCTCATCACAGACATCGCCGTAGAATTAAAGGACGACCAAAACCGCGAAATACCATTTTCTTACGGGAAAGTTGTTGTAAAACTATACTTTAGACCTGTGAAACAATCCGTGGTTTAAAAATGGCTTATTACAACCCACGAGGGATGAACACCGCTGACTATGTCGACTATTATCGAAACCAGGCGGGGGGTGGTCTACCCGGATATGCTGGAGGAGCCGTTATGTACGGAGCTGGCCTAGGAGGACTTTTCAGAGGTCTGTTTAGGATGGCAGTGCCATTGTTAAAAAGGGGGTTCAGCATCGCTAAACCGCACCTAAAATTGGCCGCTAAAAATATAGCAGCTGACGTAGTCTCAAATGCGTTGTCAAGATCGTATAATGATAACCCTAAAGCTCAAGACGGTTCGGGGATTATGGTCATGGCTCATAAGAGAACGTCTAAACCTCCGGGTACAAGGAGGCGTGATCATTCAATAAAGAAAACAAAGCGCGGTCCCAAGAAGGTCTCAGTCACACGCAGAAAGCGTAAGAAGGCTGTGAAGTGAAACGTCTCTACTAAGAGATCTGTAAAAACCATATTCTAGCATGGCGTTACTGCACCGCATGTCGGGAGAGTGTATTAAGTCCGAGTTGGATTTGTTTACAGTCCCGCTGACGCAGACGGTTATAGAGAAAAATGCTTATTTAGAAGTACCGCCTTTATCGGCTATATCGGACTCGTCGCCTTTGGAGTTTTTATCGCGGGGACAGGCGAAGATTACATCGACCTAAATAACACGTTGTTGTTTCTATGTCTTAAAATCACAAGACCTAATGGGGGCAACATCCCAGACCCCGCAAAGGTAGCCCTAATAAATTACCCCGGAGCCACTATATTTTCACAAGTCGACGGCAGTCTCGGCGAGCGCCTGATATCTCAGAGTTCGAGCACTTACCCTTACCGGTGTCGGCCTCCCTTTTTGTCAAGAAAGTATCCGTATCACCATCCGTGAGACTGGCTCATGCCCAGGCGTTGCTCTCAACCACGACCAAGTACCCCATAGAGAGAGAGAGAGAGAGAGAGAGAGAGAGAGAGAGATAGAGAGATAGAGAGATAGATAGATAGTTACAACCACTATAATATTTGCAAAAAGACAGTGACCCCATGGGGAATACAAAAACAAAATGACCTACTCATACAGCAAGACTAGAAATCAAAAATGTCAGCATACAGCAATACTACAATTCAAAAAGGATACATAAAAAAAAAAAAAAAAAAACACCAA